CCCTCCCATCTGGGATCTGGACGCTGCAGCCAGAACAATAGCTGGAAACACCGTAATCCTTGGGATAAGACTTTATCCATCACCTAGAAAACCTTGGCTGTCCGACCCAGAGTGAGTCCTCTTAAAAGTCAGATGTTTACTTGGACATCCCTCTTTTTCTTTCCAGAGTTCTCAACCTAAAGGTGCACACACTTTTTAAAATAAAAAGAAAAAAAGAAAAAAAATGAGTTAAAAAAAGGCGACGGAACCCCCTCGACGGGTCGTACCTTCCCAGCAAAGTCCAAAGAGCCTTTGTGGTCCCTCTTTTTCTTGCTTTGCTAAACGTAAATTCCCCCCCACACCCACCCCCGTCAGCACTTAAGGCGGCAGAATTAAAGGAGGGGAGATAATTGCGATGTGAAACAAAAGTAGCACTTAAAAAAAAAAAAAAAAAAGTGCAGACACCTAAATTCCTCGCCCTGCCTTCCTCCCACTCGCCGGCCCCTCCTCGTCACGGACTTTCCCCCGAAACGCATCTTGGCGAGTTGGTGCTCTCGGCAGCCGTGTGGGAGCGGGAGAGGCGTAAATCTCCCGTGGCGACAGCGGCAGCGCCTCGCATGGCAATAACGGCGTTATTAATAATAGCAATAATAATCATCTTTATTGTTCAACACCTCGCTGCCCTGGCATCCCCCGAGGCCCGCTCGCCTCCCCCCGGACCCCGCACCCACTGCCCGGCCGAGGCCGGGGGGAGCGCTGGGAGCGCAAAGTTTACGCCGAAGTTACGCGGAGCGGCAGCAACACCGGCCTGTCCTCCCCCCCTCCCCTCCGCCCCTGCGGACCCCGCGGCTCCCGTCCCACCCCCCCTCGGGCCCCAGAAAAGGGGGTTTAGGCTTTCGGGGGGGCTGCGAGGAGCCAAACGCAGCCGAAGGGCCGGCGAGGGGGGGTGGAAGCATCAGCTCTTGAAAGAGCCGCGACCGCCGCCGAGGGGAGGGGGGACACCATGACTATGTTGAAACGGTTTATTAGCATAAATTGACACCTAATTGTTAAACACGTGAATCAAAGGACAGCTTTGCTATCTTTCTGCCTAGGCCTCTGTCCACCACGTCTGCAATTAGCATAATTTTTCACTAGTGACGCTGTTTGGGAGGCTCGTTGGCTTTGCCCGGCAATCCGAACCAAATCTTTATTTTTAAATACCCCCTCGGCTTTATCCCCCCCGCCCACCCCCCCAACTCCCCCGTAGCCTGGATTCTTTTCGTTATTATTTTAATCCCAGCCAAGCATTGCATAGTTAAAAGGGGGGTGGGGGGGGTGTTGTGTTCAGCTTTTCTTTCTTTCTTTTTTTTTTTTCCCTTCTCCTTTCCCTTCTTCCCCTTTGCTGTGGTAAAGCAGAGGCCATTGTTATCAGTGAGCAGCGCGTACCAGTCCATAGGGCAACTAGAATCTCAGGGTTTGTCCATTCAAAGCCCGCAGCTTTTCTGCACATCTTGGAAGCTGGAAAGCATCTTGATTTTTTTTTTTTTTCCCTCCCCCAAACGGAGATCGAGAGACAATTTGAGCTGCCGTAACCGAAAGCTCCACTGGCTGAGCCCCCTCCCCCTCTGTTTTGGCTTTTTCTTTTTTTTTTTTTTTTTTAATACACATATCCATGCCTATGCCGGATTTTTTTCCTCTCTCTCGTATATTCCTTTAACGTTTTTAAAGGAAGGGGGTCATTCCTTGCTTATTGATTGCGTGGATGCTGGATGTGAAAATATATTATGTCTGCCTGGGCTTTGCTCGTCAGAGACTAAGGTAAGCCGGACTCAAATAGGCTATCACTTTGTGAATGGCGGAGTATATGTCCCAATGATTTATGACCATATGACTCCAATCTCGGTTCAAGAAGAGTTCACAAGCTTTAAGCTTCCTTCCACGCAGAGACTCTTTTGCAGCCCTCATCCAGGGCCCTTTTCCACCCCCCTATTCCCCCCCCCCCCCCGCTTTACAACTGGGGAGTTCTGGTTGGGGTGAAGCTCGCCGGTGGGGGAGGGAAGAGGGAAATTTTAGGAATGTCTCTCTATTTTTCAGGCATAACCCAGCGCGAGGCGGTCGCTGCGATTTGAGCTCTTTCTGAGCGGCCGACCTATTGTTAAGGGCACGTTTAGAATATTTCTTATTAATAATAATTGAAATTAAAAGCGGGGCTATGCCTGGCTTCTCCGGCTCTGGGAAACGTACCTTAGGTGGGGGCGGGGGAGGGGAAAGACGCTGCTCTTCTTCACAGACACACTCAGGTTGTGAATTTAGGATTTCCAACATGGAGGGGACGGCTTCCCAGCAGAATACCTCTGCCTCGGCTTCCTTTTATCTTTTTCCCTCGACCGCCTGATATTTTATCCCCTCCGAGCATCCTCCTGCCCGCAGCCCTTTCCCTCTCGCACCTTCCTCCGATATCTATTTGTTTGGGTTTGGTTTTTTTTTTTAAATCCTAAATCCTCGCACTCCAAAGTTGCAGGCGAAGAGTTTGTGGTTAAATGTTACCGCTCGCGAAGTGAAACTTGGAGCGTGGTGGAACAGCCGGCGCGGCTCCTGCCCGGCTTTAATTGGAACGGGAGATCATCGAATATTTATTATTCCGCCTGAGATTTTTTTTTTTTTTAAAGCAATTCCTTGGAGTAAATAATTAGGATTGCGGCCGTCCTGGGCGAAGATAAATGAGCGGCATTTGTGAGGCGCTGAGAGATGAGGTACAAAGCAAATCTGTGGAAGCCACAAGCCAGGGAGCTTTTGGGCGAAGGGGATTGTAAATTTATTTTATGGACATTAAAAAAAAAACACAACAAAAAAACAAACAAACAAAAAAAATCGTCGCTGTTATTTTTAGCTGCTTTAGCTGAGCCTCACAGCTCTGGTTTGGGTTTGTTTTGTTGTTTTTTTTTTTTTTTTTTTTTAAAGAAACCTTTGCCAGACAGGAAGGCCTTGGAGAAATTCCCATCTCTGCCCTCGTAGATATTTTCAGCAAACCTATTCATAATAAAGGCGCTGCTGTTTGTTAATTAATTCACAGCTCCTCGGCTCGGGCCGGCGGAATCTACTTTTTAATAAGACATATTTATCACGGCGAGGAAACCAAACGAGAGTTAACTCCCAGCAAGGGCATCATCCTCTCTGTAGACAATAATACATCTCCGTGGAAGAGACAACACAGATCTGGGAATGCAGCAAGGATTTAATCAGTGTGAAAAAGCCAAGCAGTCCCTTCGTGGACACGTTGTCTGAGGCTGTGGTAGAAGTAAACGGAGGGTTCATATGACGTGCCATAAGAACACAGCAGTCAGGGAAGGAAAAAAAAAAAGATGTTATTTATTGTCGAGCTGTGGCTTCTGTTAAACCCCGGTACTTAGAAATATCGCATTAGACTTTATCTCCGCGGAGTTTATTTTATTTTATTTTCCAGAATGAAAGAGCCCAGATAAAATTAAATATACAAGAGATACAATTAAATATACAGTGGATATCAATTGCCAAACAAAATGCACAGTGGCTCCTCGCAAACTCTTGGCTGCAGAGAGAAGTCTCCCTGCCTTTTTAAAATCTGTGTGCTGCTTGATTGAGACTCACCCATCAGATTATTTTCAGGTCAAGATAGTTTTACTGGTTTTGAGGGTATTTCTGCGCTGTCTTTATGGTAGAGAAAGTTTATGCTTTAAGGAAAGAAAAAAAAAAGAGAAAGGAAGAGAGAAAAGAAACATAAAAAAGATCAGAGAGAGAAGGGAAAAAGGAAGGTTTCATTTTGTAATTTTAGGCTTTGGAATGGGGTTTTTGGACTTTTTTTAGAGCCTGGATTGAGAGAGGGAGGAATGATGAAAAGCCAAAGGGGTAGAAAGTTAAGAGCAAATGGCCTGGTGACGTGTTTGTTTTCCAAGGGGAGGAAAAAAATAACAACAGCAATTGAACTGGTTTTGGAATTAACATCTCCCCAATGGTAGTTCCAGATTCAGGACTGATGAGCACAAAGCCATGCAGGCAGCGAAGGGGTTTGTTTTCTAAATACAACCTGTGCTTCCAGGGCCAGAGAGAGACAGACACTCACGAGCAGGCCAAAGGCAGCACGTTCTTGAATTCATGCCCCTGCTTAAATCTGCTGAAAATATTTGCACTGAATTCCAAAGACATTGTGAGTTCCTGTGTAAACAGCAGAGGAAGCCAACTGTGCCAGGACACTGTTACCTGGATAAAACATATTGACTGTTTGCTGTTTTCAGTTTAAAAACAAATAGACCAGACAGAGGCCCTGTAATAAACCCACCAGACTTCTAATTTTGGAAGGTACACATCTTGCTGCTTGTTATGTGTGTGAATGGCTGATTTGAATAGGTCAGGGGTAAGAAAGCAAGACTTTCATTCCTTTCATGCTTGTGGCCAGCAATTATCTGTTCTGTATCCCAATCTCTGTGTTATTTTCTGTGTTATCTGGCTGTGGATGGGGATATGTGCACATGACACACATCTCCATGGATATGCACACACATCTAATGGGGAGTATGTGTAGGGATATGTAATTGTGTAGTATAAATATAGGAGGAAATAGATGTGTGCAGATGAAACCACGTGTGCCTTTGGAACACGTTGTACATCCTGGCTGGAGGTTAAAAAAAAAAAAAGGAGGTGCAACCAAAAACCCACTGAACCAACCAGGAAAACTGTCCCTGTCCCCCCCCCCCCAAAATCAGCTCAACACTTTTAGCACTGTAACATTTGTTGAGCCTCCTTGGGCTGCACACAGGACGAAATCTGCTCCAAGCATCTGTTCCTCCTGTTCTGCGGGACCCTATTCATGTCATGGGCCTTTCAGGCCCCAAGATGGATTCATAGGTCGGGTACTATTATTGTGTGTTTTCTCCTAACCTTTCAGGTCAGCTTCCAATAGACAGCTGGAAACGGCCTGTCACGTGGCCTTGGGGTGCCAATGTTCTGCCATAGGGGTGTCAAGACCCTGGTAGCCGGAAAAATCCTTTTGGGGAGCCCCAGAGATGCAGAAGACGACGTACTACGACAGCTCCACGCTCTTCGGGGGCTACTCCTACGGCAGCGCCAATGGCTTCGGCTACGAGGGTCCCCAGCAGCCCTTCCAGGCGGCCTCTCACATGGAGAACGACTTCCAGAGGTCTGCCTGCTCCCTGCAGTCTCTTGGCAACACAGCCCCCACGCCAAAAGTAAAGAGCTGAACGGGAGCTGCATGAGGCCCAGTTTGCCCCAGGAGCACCACCCGCCTCCCCCCGTGTCGCCGCCCCCCAACCCCGCCACCAACAGCACCGGCAGCAACAGCAATAACCAGGCGGGGGGCGGCAAAAGTGCCCCCAGCAAAGCCAACCTCAGTGCAAACGCCAGTCTCACCAAGCAGATTTTCCCCTGGATGAAAGAGTCGAGGCAAAACTCCAAGCAGAAAAACAGCTCCCCCAGCACAGGTACTTTGTTGTGCTCTCGTGACCCTCTCCCGCTTCCCCGCACGAGGTGGGGAAGCCACGGGTCAGGGTGGCCTGGTTTGGAGGGAGGGCAGGACCCGAGGAGGATCCAGAGAGGATCCTGGCGCTGGGCAGGAGCCAGCCTTGGCCCATCCTGCAGCTCTGGCTGTGCACACTTGGTTTGTTTGAGGCGTAACCGGAGCACCGCAGGGAAATACGAGCAGGTGGTTGTACACAGGTGATGTCCCACTGTGTGGACACAGATACATGGAAATGTGCACCCAACTGCTCAGCCTGGTGCTGCTAAAGCTGTTTGTTCTCCTCCCACCCCCCTGCCCCCAGACATGGCAGTGAACATGGTGTAGGTGTGCATGTAGGGAGCATATGCACAAACACATGCACCTTCTTGCACAAAGACACACCCAAACCCAACCTGATCCAAAAAAAACCCCAAATCATGTTGGGAATATCGCTGTTTTGACAAATACATTCATGTCAACTTTCTGGCACATGCTTCATCCTACATTAATATAATTTATCTGTTATATCACGTTCCTCTCACAAAAAAGGTAGGTACAAATGTGGTCTGGTGTTTACCAGCACACATGAAAATATTTGTGTTGCACAAATATGAGACACACAAGATGTGTGTGTGTGTGTGTGTGTGTGCATTCACACCTCAGCAAACAAAACACCTCCCAACACCGCCCCGTGTTAGTATTAATTGGCTTTGCAGCGACTGCCCCCCTGCCAAATATTATTTTCTCAAAATTATCTGCTGGAAATAATCGACTCCTAAATAAATGGCCCTGGAATCCTTTTCTACATGACATGATCAAATTTTCATAAACCAGGGGCAGCTTTGGAGAACAGAACTCTTAATAAATGACATGATTATGGAGTGCAGGCTAATGCAGAGGGGTGAGGGAAGGGGGGGTGGGGTCGAACTCTTGTGCCTGTTCCAGGATTTATTAAGAAACGATGCATTCAATTTCTGCATGTAAGTAATTATCTTTTATTTCATTTTGGGGCCGGCAGAAACCTGCAGCGGCGAGAAAAGCCCTCCAGGCTCCTCGGCCTCCAAGAGGGCCCGCACAGCCTACACCAGCGCTCAGCTGGTGGAGCTGGAGAAGGAATTCCACTTCAACCGCTACCTGTGCCGGCCCCGGCGCGTGGAGATGGCCAACCTGCTGAACCTCAGCGAGAGGCAGATCAAGATCTGGTTCCAGAACAGGAGGATGAAGTACAAGAAAGACCAGAAGTCGAAAGGCATGGGGTCTTCCTCCGGAGGGCCATCCCCCACGGGCAGCCCCCCCCAGCCCATGCAGTCCTCGGCCGGGTTCCTGAACGCCTTGCACACCATGAGCAGCAACTACGACGCCCCCTCGCCGCCCTCCTTCAACAAACCCCACCAAAATGCCTATGCCATGTCGAGTAACTACCAAAACCCCATCAAAGGCTGCCCCTCCCAACAGAAATACGCCAACACGGCCCCCGAGTACGACCCGCACGTCCTGCCGGGCAGCGGGGTGGCCTACGGGACGCCCAGCATGCAGGGGAGCCCCGTCTATGTGGGAGGTAACTATGTGGATTCTATGCCCGCCTCTGGCCCGTCCCTCTACGGCCTCAATCACCTGCCACACCACCAGGCTGCCAGCATGGACTACAGCGGGCCCCCCCAGATGCCCCCGAGCCAGCACCACGGACCATGCGAGAGCCACCCCACGTACACAGACCTTTCCACCCACCACGCTTCTTCTCAGGGCAGAATCCAAGAGGCGCCCAAGCTCACCCACCTGTGACAGGGAGCCAGGGACAGGCTCAGGTGAAGCAGATGGGACCCCTCCATGGGGGAGAGGGGAAGAGGGCAGGCTCAGCTTCAGGAACATTTGTGTTGAGCTGTTTCCTTTCCTCCTTTGACAGGGATGTTTCCACCGGGTTGTTGCCGTGCTCGCTGTTGTTGTTTCTGGGTTTTATTAGGCACCCTTTCGGTGTTCACTGCCTAAAGCAGCTCTCTCTCTCTCTCTCTGAAGAGATATACCTCCTGTGTTTCAACACAAATGCTTCTGAAATGGGTTTGGGGTAGTTTTGTGGGAATCTGGCAGATTCGAAGCAGCAACACCCCCCATTTCCATCCCAGGCACAGATCATCACTGGCAATTCTCGGACAACTGGAAAGGACAAGAGTCAACCAGCCAAGTCTTTGCAGTTGGTGTCTCTGCACCCACCTAAACATGCACACAATTAGAAGAGACTCACAAGGAAACTACCCACTCCTCTGACTCCTCCTCAACATCAACCCGTGCTTTCCTTTCCAGCCTTCAGAGGAGGGGGGTCCTTTCTCACCGAGTAACTTCCCACTGGTCCCCACACAAACTGCAAATATACACACCTGCCAACGAGTGAGATTCACACTCTTCCCCTCTGCTCCCTGCTTCCCCTCTCAAAAATAAGAATACTAAAAAAGAAAAGAAAAGAAAAGAAAAATTAGAATAAAAGAGCTCTGAGAATTACAAAGGGTTCAGGAAATAAGTTTCTGAAATGCCTAAACCCCCTCCCAACAATAAGAGCAGTCCAAAGAGAGGAAGAAAGAGTTGACAGGTCTGAATATTTTCCCACCTTTGCCTCTGATGACGTGAAGTTTGTAGTTTTGGGGGGTATTTTTTTCTTAGGGGTTCGTTAACAGAAAAGCAATCTTGAGACTTAGAAGTCCTAAGCTTCTTTCCTCCTCTTCTCTTTGACCTTACGTGAAAACAGGGTATATTTGAACAAATGGAATGTCCTCCAATCGAAGCAGAAGTGAATGGATCACTAGTATTTGCTAATGCTTTCTTGTCTGGACATCTTTGTTGCACTTAGAGTTTACATATAATGGGTATTAAAACAACTTTGAAGGGCTTTCGTCCATCTCAGTCGAGATGCCCTTCAATAGGTGTGTGTTCTGGTGAACATTCATATATATTTATTGGTTATAGCCAGTTTAAAATATTTTCCCCTTTTTTGTATTATTTATCCCCGATATTATGTATTTATATGAGGGAAAAAAAAAAGAATCAAATTGTACTTTTTTAGTATTTACTTGTTATAAAGGACATTGTGTTTCCTTGTCATTGTACAACAAGCTTATTTTAGTTATTGTAATTTAGACAGACCAGTAGTTTTATGTTACCTTCGTACTTATGAATAATGTAATTAGTTCTACTGGAGGCATGAGAGCAGAACCAGACTGTAATTGTATAGTCCTGAATTAGAAGAACTATAGCTAATCCCTCCCTCCCACCTCACCCCTCCTCTTTGGAGATCTTTCTTTGTTCTTACAGTAGTTATTTTATTTCCTTGCTTAAGGGTTGTCTGTTGAACAATTCTTGAATAAACTTTCTGTTATCAATTTTTATCTTGTCCTATCAGTCGGATTGAAAGGCAAAAAACAACGACAGCAACAAAAAATAGATTGTTTGTATGTGAAAAAACAGCGAAGGGAAGTCGAGGAAGGGGTGGATTGAGCGCAGGCTCCGGGCTTGGGCTCTTCATCCCACGGTTGGGGTGAAACCCTGGGAATTGGGGCCATGAGCGGTCCCGGAGCCCCCTCCGCGCCCCCTCCGCGCCCCTGCGCGGCCACAAAGAGGGAATCACGTGGAGCCGGGGCCGGGCTTCCATTGGGCCGCGAATGAAAACAAAGGAAAAGCATTAATTCAAAAAAAAAAAAAAAAAAAAAAAAAAAAAAAGGGGGGGGGGAAAGGGGAAGAAATTAAAAAAAAAAAAAAAGCGCCCAGAGTTTCCATGCGGGGACCTCGGAAGTGAAGAGAAATTAAATCTCTTAATGAATTAATAAATTAATGTGTTATTTAATTATTAATGAAGAACGAGGATGTGTGAGGCACACACGTGTACACACAGGCACAGGCACACACATGTGCAGAGGCAAACACCCCCTCCCCTCAGACCCCACACTCATCCAAAAATTGTTATTAAAAGGGGGGGAAAAACCTCTGCCAAATGTTAGGTTATCGGTGAGAGCAAAAGGGAGAACAACCCTTTGCCAGCAGCGAAAGCAGATGGGATAATACCGTGAATAATTTGCCTTTTATGCTCCAAAGCCCTAAGAAAACTTATATTAAAGCAGCGAGGAGCAATAAAAGTTTTATGGTCCTGGAAAAGGGGTGAAGTGCTTGTCAGGCTCGAAACGCTCCGTTTGTGTGGCTGAGGAGGAGGGGATTGTCCCCTCCGGAGGAGAGGAGAGGGGGATTTGATTGCTGCCGGCAGAAAAAGGCTGCAAAAGGTACCGAAAATTAGAGGTGGGCTGTGGAAACAATGTGTGTGTGTGTTTTAGGCACCTGCGTGCACAGCCGGGGCCAGCCAGAGGTGTCTGCACAAACCCTCAGGTGGAAAAAGGGCCAGCGGAGAAAGGATCGCATGAGAAATGATGCCGTTCCTCCTGCCGGCTCTGCTCCCTCCTAATAAATGAAGTTCCAGGTTAATAATTATAACCTTCCCGCAATAATAAATAACGGGAGCACGGAGAGACAGGGCTTGTTTTTCTCCCCAGGACCGGGGCTGGGTTCTGCCCGTCCATGCAAGGAACAATTTACCATCCGGGGTTACTATAATTTAAAAGCATAAAAGCGTGCAGGCTCTGATTGGGATCGCCTCAAAGAACAAGGGTTTGGCGTTGCCTTCCCCCTCCCACCCTCCTGGAATGTATTTTTCCCGTCGCCATGTTGGGGGGTTTGTGGCAGGGATTCCCAGGAACTGGTTAAAATCAGGGGGAAAGGGGAAAAAAAACAAACGCTCCAATTCCGGGGCTCCAGCCGTGACACCTCCACGGGCTCCGTCTCCTACAACTCCTCACATCCCCGGGTTAGTTTGTGCCGCTGCATTAAAGCAGCAGGCCCGGGTTTGTCCTACAATTCTTGCATTTCTCTGTCGTTCACTGACCCTGTGAATTTATTCCTGTGATGTGATGCCTTTCCCCTTGAGCAGGGAGATTTTTTTTCCCCTTGTACCTCTGTGTGATGTGTGGGAAAAAAATTTCCCTCTTTCCCCAAAAGGTTCTTTTTGCTTTTATTTTTTCTCTCTCTCTCTTTTCTCCCCCCCCTTTTTTATTTTTTTTTCCCTCTCTTCTTGGTGTTTTTTTTTTTTTCTTGCAACTCAGTGTGAGCAAAAAGCAAGAGACAACTGTTGGGAGCAGCTGGAAGGAGTTTCCTTCTGCACCCCAAACTCCTCCACTTCATCCCAGCTCCTCAGTGACCCCTCAAAAAGAAGGAGCTTTTGGCCTTATGGCAAAGCCCAAGACCCCCAAAATTCCACTTTCATCCAAACAAGAAAGAAATGATGTGAAACCCACCTATTCTTTTTCCATTGATCTGCTGAGATTGAGTACATTTGTGGTGATTTTGATAAGGGCATTCACTACACAAAATATTTCAGGAAAATCTTCCCTTGATTCAGCTGGTTTATAATTTTTAAAATTATTATTTTCTTTGCCCCTTTGCTAAACTGTGCTTCGGCCTCGGCTTCAGTTGCAGCTTTAGATTTATTATGTGTGCCTCAGAACCCCTCACCACCCACACAGATGCTTGAAGTGACAAAAGTTTCCAGGCTTCTCCCTGTGTGAATGCAGCCGGTCCCTCCTGGCTGCAAAATGGGAGAAATGGAGCTTGAACAAACCAACTCCAAACCAGCCCCTTTCCCATTCAGCACCAGGAGGCTTCTTTTTGCTTTCCTTCCCGAAATTTTTACTCTCTGCGTTTGGATTAGACTTTATAAATCCTTCTTGGGTTATGGAACTCTTCGGTAAAAGCCAAATTTCTGTGCTGAGTGAGTCAGGCCGAGCTGTCAAAAGTCTTTGGAGAAAAAGATTGATCGTTTCTCTCTTATTTTCGGTTTGTGTTCCCGGGCACTTTAAAGAGGGGAGGAGTGGTGGAGAAGTCTTCCTGGGAAATGACTTTTCATTTTATTTATTTATTTTGTAAACTCTGGAAGTAGCACTGTTTATTGGAGATGGGAGGGGGGGGGGAAGAGATGGGAAGGAAGAAATGTGATTTCAAAGATATCTGTGACCTTAAAACATGTTTGGCCTTTAAGGAAAGTGCAAAAGGTCCATTAAGCCTGGCTTTGGAAGGAGAAGGATTATGCTGTTCTTCGAAAGTAATTTAACCTGGTAAATCGGGCTGGTCTAACTATCCTTGACCTAAAAGCTCACTTGATTTCCCAAGTGCTCACATCCAGACTCGGACACAAATCCCTGGACCAAACCCTCACATTGGCTTCATTTTTCCGAGTTTCACAGTGTATGGATGAGATGGAAACATCCCCCAGCCAGAGCCCAGATCCATCTGGGCATCCCGGGGGGGCAAAGCCCCTTTTCCCAGGCCTGGTTCCCCCACCTGGGGCTACAAACTCTGGGGAACTCAGAGGCTGGAGGTACCTGCTGCAGGCAGGGCAGGACACGCAGGCAGAGCACGAAGGACAGGCAGGGAAGGCAGGGCAGGAAGGACAGGCAGGGAAGGCAGGGCAGGCAGCACAGGCAGGGCAGACAGGGGCCATCCAAGGCAGCCTGGCAGCATCGGGGTGGTGGTGCCCGGCTGTGCCTTTTCGGGGGGTTCTTCTCTCGCCTTTTTTCTCCCCTGTTTTTAAATCAATTAAAGAAAATAAAGCTCTGTGTTTGCACCAGGCCCCGCCTGCCATTGGCCGGGGCTCTCCACGTGATCAGGAATTGGCTGCAATTTCGCCCCAGTCTCGAGTTTAGCAGAGCAAGGTCCCCCCTCCGCCTGTATTATCAGCAATATAACAATTATAAAAA